GCACCATTTATAGCTCCTCATCCAGATCTCAATGTGACAAAGCTGTTTTTACATCTATCTGCTCCATATGTGCATCTTCCAATAATACCAGACTCAGTACAACCTGTCAGTTGTCATCTTCACCACTGGAGAGAAAATTTCTCTATAATCCACACATTCCTTATGCTGGAAATCTATCACAATAAGTCTTACCTTATAGCTACCATCTAACTCTTCTTTCAGCCTGTAGATCCACTTGTTGTGTAGTGCTCTTTTGTCATTTAGTAATACTGTTAAATCTCACGTTTGATTTGACTATAAAGATTACATTTCTTTATCCATGACGAACTCTCACTTCATTGAGTTTTCAACTTGAGTGACTTTCTCAAAGCACTCTAGTTCATCACTATCAGTTAGTAAAAAGTAGTGTAAAAAAGGTAAATAAATGTGTACAGGTCGTATCACTTTGCTTGATCTTTTGTCTTCTGTAAGAAGAGACTGAGGAACTTCTAGTACCCCTTCTGGTCGAACAGTTCTTCTTTCTCCACCTTTCTGATCATCAGTGTCTTCTATCTCAACATACTTGGACTCTTTAAAATTAACTAACGGGCTGTCTTGAGTTCTGATTCTATTCTTATACATCTCAATTTCATTAAATGTGATATCTCTGCTCCTGATGAATTTCTGATTCTGATAATCTTAGAACTTATACCCAAACTCATCTGAGTAACATCCAATAAATGTGCACTTAATAGATTTCGAGTTAAGCGCTCCTAGACTTTGCATCGGCATGCACATCTGCATAATACCCAATACTCTTAAATGAGATAGATTTATCTTTTTGTTACTCCAGATTTTTTCTCCAAAATTACTGATGGACTACTATTAATCAGATAAACTATAATGTTTACTGCTTTAGCTCAAAATTGTTTTAGCAAGTTTGCATGCAGCCTCATGCTCCTAACACGCTTTGTGATTTTTTTGCATGCGCTCAGTCACACGATTCTACTGCGGTGTCCTTGAAACAGTGAGCTCATGCCTAGCCCCCTCTGTAGTACAAAAATTCTTGAACTTCTGATCACAATATTCATCCCTATTATCTGATATGAGACACTTAACTTCAAGCCTGTTTCATTTTATATCATAGTTTTTCTCTTCATAAAATCTTCAAATGCATCATATTTTTACTTTAAATAAACCTATATCTTTCTCGTGTGATCATCAATAAACGTGACAAAACTTTTAATGCACATAATCGGAGTATGATCCCATACGTCAGTATACACTAACTCCAATTTTTTTGAATTTATCATTGACCCGCTCTTAGAAAGAAATTTTCATCTACTTGTCATATATACAATCTTTACAGAAATTCATATTAATTGATTTCAATCTCTAAAGTTTATTTTTAGAAAGTAAGACTTCATACATTTCTTGCTCATATGGCTAAACCTACGGTGTCATAGACCCGCATCTTCTCTAGTTCCTGCCACATCAATGAAATTAACTATTTCATTGATAAGATAAAGTATGCCTTCAATTTTGTTCTAAGTCATCACCAATGCCCCCTGATCATCTTCCACAAATCACCTGTGAAAATAGTCATGAGTTCTGACTACCAGATGGCTCACAAAGATGAGATTTCTTTTCAGACTTCGAACATGTCTAACTTTAGTAAGCTTCTAGACTATTCCATTCGATAACCTGATATCAACATCACCCTTTCCTACGATACTGCAGGTTTTGTTATCTCCCAGATAAATCTTCCATAGATCACTCTGAGAGTAGTTTTTAAATTCCTTCTTGTTGGGACAAACATGAAAAGAGGAACTTGAATCTATTATTCAAGATTTGGTATAGACTAGGAATAATACCAGTGAGTCGTCTTGGATTTCACCGGTGAAGACTTTTGTAGAGTGACTTCTTTCTTGTTTTCCACCACCCGTTTCCTTGGAGCTTTGCAGTTCTTCTTGAAATGCTTTTTCTTACCACTTTTCCAACATTCTCTTTTGTTTGACTTGGGTTTTCCTCTCTTAGAAGACTTGGATCTGCCTCTGCCTGTATTCCTACTCAGATTCCTTCTATTATCAACATTTAACACAAAACCTTAAGATTCACCATTCGCTGTTTTTCGACAAACTTTTTTATTCATATCAGACCCACAATGTCATCGAAGTTCAACTTCGAATTCCGTAAATATTATTCACTGTCGTGACTAAGTCATTCCAGCTGCCCGACAATGAAAATAGTATCATCAATGCTCTAACTTCAGCATCAAATTTGATCCCCACTAAACACAGCTTGGTCATCACAGTATTAAAATTGTTTAAATATTCTGTTACTGAACTACTTTCCACCATCTTAATATTGAATAACTTTTTCATCAGAAAAACCTTAATGGAAGCAAAATGTTTTTCATATATCTTGGTCAGTGTCTCCATGAGATTCACCGTAGTTTTCTTATTTACAATATTGGACACAACAGATAAGCAAAGTGATAACCTGATCAAACTTAATGTCGTTTCATCTAACACTTTCCATTCCTCCATAAATATAAACTCAGACTTCCTTGTAATTACTTGTAGTAGTAAGTACTACTTTTATTATACAACAAATCCTCTACTTGCATTTTTCAGAATGTGAAATTCATGCCATCGAACTTCTCCAATTTGAACCTTGCTTTATTTGTCATTGCTCCTACTCGAATCGAACCTCGCTCGGATATCCATCTTTGTTGGGAGGAATTTAACTTGCAGAATAATCTCCTTCCCAAAATTCACCGGGGCTTAGACCCAAAAATCTAAACCACACCACCAAGGAATAGGATCGCGCAGATTCGAGAAAACCAGAACAAATTTATGAATAGAAGTATAATAAAGCAAACCGGAAAAGCACACAAGAATTTAATGTAGAAAAATTCTAGAACGGGAAAAAACCACTGAGTCACACTACCAAAAAATTTCACTATGAAATTCAGAGAGTTTACAGAGAACACTCTCAAATTTCCTCTCCTCTCAAAGCCAAGGCCTCGCTCCAAACTCTTTCTGCTCCGATCCAACGCTAACAACGAACGCTGTCACAGAAATCCCCCTCTCCAACGCTTCTCTCCTTCATCAGGAACTTGTCGAAGAACTTGCACAGGAAGCAGGTCTTACGCCGCTAAAATTCATCCTTAAGCAAGCAATCGTGTGCCAACCGCTCCGGGATCGAGCGCCTAAGCACCAAGGCCTCTAGATCAAGCATCTAAATTGAGCGCTTAGGTGCCCAATGGCTGGCACCTATGCGCCAACTTTACTGCACACACACATAAAGTGACACACATGCACCATATGCGCTGACTTCTCTGTGAGTAGCGTCCACAACTCAGTCTTCTGTAGGTGCTTCGGCTCCACAAACCGAGCACTTTCGACTAACTAGGATTGAAATATTATCTATAGGAAAACATACCCAAAAGGGCTAATTTAAAATTACTATAAATATAATTGTTTTGCTTGCAGGTGACTCTATGCCAAGCTAAGCTTTGAATAGGCATGACCAAAAAGATATAGCTTGGCACCGATCTATGTCAGGCTTTTTGCGACATGTTATTTTGGTTATATTTTATCTGTCACTAATATTCATTTTATCAGGGAGGCTTTGTGATTTTCTTTTTATTTTAACATTGTGCTTTTTATTCTTGGAAAGTCATGTAAGTGTGGGTCATCTCAGAATGCATGGAGCTAAATGATGATTCCAGGAGAGGTGTTCAAGACCCCAATGCCAAGATAATTTTTTGTAGAATTATTGGGCACTGTTGCATATATGAGAGTCTAGCTACTTTACACTTTTTTTTTATGAGATGTATTAGGTACTATGCCACACCTGACTTCTATTTGATTATTTTGGTTGTTTGTTTGATATCTCTGATTATTTTTTTGGGGTGTTGCTCTGGAAATGAATGTTTTTCTTAAATTTGTTCCCTTGTTTGTGCATGTCATTGATTTGTCTACATTAGGCTCTTTTATTTTAAATATTCTACCTTTACATCTAAATAATCAAATGACCTAAACGCAATCATAAGAAAATATTTTTCTTAATAAAATTATTTGCTTGGCTCTCAATGCCACAAAATAATTGATCTTTAGAATCTTCAATGGAAACGTGCAGTTAAGGTTTAACTGACATGCCTTATCCATCATAGATGTGCTTCTTCAAGTTAGCAAAAGCTTTAGACAGATTCTTGTATAAGCATAACCCAATGATTCAGCATGATAGATTTATTTTTTTTATTACGCATTTAGGTATAGACAACTAAATAAAAATTCTGCATATGAATATCCCTTCTTTGGCGAAATTATAAGTCTAATTTCTTAAATATGATACATTCCTTATCTTGTATTTATATGGAAGATAGATGTCATGATTTTATGCAATTCGGTGGGTCTAGCTGGCAGTTCATTCTAGACAGAACTATAAGTCCCTTTCATGAGCATTCCTAGACTCGGGTGGGGTTGAGTTATGAGTCTCATTACTACGCTTGCATTAGTCTAAGTCATGAGCTCTCCTCGATTGATTCATTAGTCGCTCTTTAGATTTATAGGTTCAATGCTAGTAATGTCCTTGCAATGCTTTAGTTCTTATTGTCTTGGCAACCTTCAATTTTTCAGGAGATTATAAGAATTGCATATCTATGTTAATCGGTGATGTCCGCTGACATGCTCAGCTAGCATGCATGATATGTTTGCTTTTATTCACCCTTGTGTGCTTGGTTGTGTTGTACCCCTCATGTGAGCAGTACTAGATTTTTTCTTTCATTGAAATAAGGAATTTCACTGAGAAAACCAGTACTGCGTGCCAAACTCCAATGGAAAACAACACTAATGCTGAAATTATTTTTGCTATTAAATGAAACTGTGTTTCATTGTTTAAAATAATTAGTTTCCAAGAGGTATATGAAATGGAAATCTCCAAATTCTTGGTGATTTATTTTATCTTTTCCCTAATCAATACTAAACCATAACCTAATCCAAGATCTTTTGCAGATTATATAGTAGCGGCTGGAAACCAATTACAAGAGCTTATAGTTCCTGCTCGGAAACCCAAGCTGAAATTTCCAACCCCATGAAGCAGATTTACCGGATCATGTCATCCTGCCCCAAAATGGCACTAGAGAAAACCTTGGATGATAGTGGCATATGGGTTTCGCCGGACATGGCTGAGGAGGTCCTTCACCATTTTGAAAATGCCGGCATGCTTGCCTATCACTTCTTCACATGGACTCGCAAGCAGCGAGAATATTCCACCACTACTTCGGCCTACCACTCCATCATTACTTCCCTTGCTAAGATTCGACAGTATCAGCTCGTATGGGAGATAGTTGGATGCATGCGCCATGAGGGAGTCCTCAATATCGAAACTTTCTCAATCATAATTCGCAAATATGCTCGGGCTCAAAAGGTTGATGAGGCGCTGTACACCTTCAATGTCATGGAGCGGTACGGCTTAGTCCCAAATCTTGCTGCTTTCAACAGCTTGCTAAGCGCTTTCTGCAAATCTAAGAATGTGAGGAAGGCCCAAGAGGTGTTCGATGAATGGCGCCACCGGTTCAAACCCGATGTCAAAACATACAGCATTTTACTCGAAGGGTGGGGGCGAGAGCCCAATTTACCTAGGATGTGGGAGGTGTTCGATGAGATGACAGAGACCGGCTGCATTGCAGATATTGTCACATATGGCATTATGGTTGACGCCCTTTGCAAGGCAGGCTCAATCATCGATGCTGTAAATCTAGTCAGGGAGATGCCCTCTAGGGGCTGCCAACCAACGTCTTTTATCTACAGCGTACTGGTTCACACATATGGTGTGGAGCGGCGTATTGAGGACGCGGTTGATACCTTCTTGGACATGCAGAAGAACGGCGTGAATCCAGATGTTGCAGCATATAATGCTCTGATATCAGCCTTTTGCCGGGCAAATAGGTTTGAGAATGCTTTAAGAGTTTTAGAAGAAATGGGACATAAGGGAGTTTCGCCGAATTCAAGGACCTGCAACACAATTCTGAGCAGCTTGATAGGTGTTGGAGAGAACGATGAGGCATATAGAGTTTTCCGTAGGATGATCGAGTATTGTGAGCCAGACTCGGATACATATACGATGATGATAAAGATGTTCTGTGAGACGGACATGTTGAGTAAGGCTTTGAAGGTGTGGAAGTACATGGGATTGAAGCGGCATGTTCCAAGCATGCATACTTTTTCTGTTCTTATCAATGGTTTGTGTGAGGAAGGGGAAGTCGGTCGGGCTTGTGTTCTTATGGAAGAGATGATTGAGAAAGGCATCAAGCCACCAGAATCAACACTTGGGAGATTAAGGCAATTGTTGCTGAAGGAAAAAAGAGAAGATGTTCTAGAGTTTCTTGTGGAAAAAATTAAGCTTTTGGTCAAAGAACCTTTATGTGATTAATGGAAACCCGTGGATTTTCTAATCGTGTTGGGCTATGGCTCTATTTATAGAAGGTTGGAGGACCTTATAGCTTAGGCAGTTCAAATGGCATCATCCACTTTTCTTATTCAGGCGTAAAGGTAATTTATAAGGAATTTTAAATAGTCAGAATTTTCTTTTCCTGTAAGCATGGATTTGTTGCATCACTGGAAATGATATAAGAATCACTTGCATCATCCAGGAAGTATTTTTAAAGATTTTTTGGTAGATTTCCAACTGGTTAGCTGAGATAGAATCAGCAAAATGGATTAGTTTTAGATTAATACGAAGATGGCTAAATATAGATCACAAAAAGTATGTTTAAGATTTCCTGATGCAATTAGGATGACAAAATAAATAGAAATCAAATAAAAATAAGATTCATATGAAGATTGCTAAATACAGATTAACTTTTTTTAAGTGTAAATTAAAAAGAACACGTGCAATAATGCAACTATTGAGTACAATGTGCGCTCCGAAAAATCAAGACCGCTCCCTAGGAGACTTTCGACATTTATCTTCTTTTTTGTTTTGAGAGAGAGCTTTGGAGGGTCGAATTTTCAGAAGACAGATTGGATTGTAGATAAGAGATTACAAGAGATTTCGCCCTCTTTTAGCGAAGTCTTTTTTTATCTAGGGTTCGATGTTTCCCTTAGGCAATCCCTATGGTTAATTACTCCCTCTCAATAACGGGAGAGAACTTTCAATTAATGCTAATCATTGAGAATTGAATATTGAACATATAATAGCTATAGACTTAGAATTTTAAATTATAGAATTCACCACTTGAAGCTTAAAGTAGTTGGCGAGGGAATAAAGATGAAACTTGATTAAGATTTCATGGTTCCGTCTTCCCAGGTCATCGTGGTCCCTGATCTACTTAGTCAGAGGTGGTAGTCGACTCAATCTGACAAAAGGATTCTTGTCAACAGTTATTGGTTACATCATTTAAGAGATTCTTGTAGATTTGAGGTGGATGTTTGTCTAACGGGATAAATTTAAGTTGACTTTAGCTAATAGTAGACTTTGGGCCAATCAATTGTACCCTTATGATTCACAACTCAAAGCGTAGAAAACCATTGAGGAACATACATGTTGCGACCATAACCATAATATAATGGTGTCATTTGGTGGCAACCACACGATTAGAGAGCTCTGGTCGTAACCACTACTTTGTGGTGTTATTTGGCGACAAAACCACTCAGACAGAGGACTCAGACCATATCCTTTCTGTCATGAAATTGCTTTGATTGTGAATATAGAGGTGCATTTGATATGATATTTGTTCTTTGTGAACTGAAGTCAATTAGAATTTTGTCACCCTTAACACTGTTGCAGAGGGTAGATGAGATTTTACGTTTAATTCTTTTAAGTCATTTAATTTTAGCTTGAATATTAATTGATTGGTTTGAAAATCTTGATTTAAAAGATTGACTCATTCGGTTGAAATCTTCTGATCGACACGGTCATTATCAGGATATTAAATATTATAAACTTTTATATTTGAAGGGGGGCAATTAATTTTGTCAATTTAAGCTTTTCAGAATATAAGTCATGTCGACTCCTGTCTTTATAAGGAGCGGGATCGTACTAGCTTCATGATTTAGAATTGTAAACTATTATTTTAGGATTTGAACATTTATTAGGGTTTACTAGCTCGTTTACTTCTAGTTCTTATGAGGAGGATTGAACTAATGGGGTGGGACATACAACCATATTCTATAGATAAAGCGGCCCGATTAGCTCGCACAGCTTTCTCAAACCTAATATTTGAGCGTTCTAAATATTGTTTGAAGCACATGCAGATGTTCAACTTTATGTACTTAAGCTATTTTAGTTTTAGCATTTGATGTCTTAAACATTACATGATTTAAAACATGGATTGAATTAAATATTGTTTTAAATGACATCTTTAAGATTTGAAATTATCTAAATTTGTTTCATCTAAATATCTATACATTAATACATATATATTCACTTTGATCTTTTGAAAACCACGTTCTTTTCGCTAGCAAAAATGTTGCAAATCCGGTGAGGTGAGACATACGAAGTCCTTGTTGAGTATTTAAAAAAATGACATTTATATTTTAAGCTTAGCCTTGATCTATGATGTTTCATATTTAAGTAAATTTCAAACCTGTTTATAGAATTCAGTATTCAATTAAGTTTAGCTTTCCAGATTCTTTTACATTTGAATCATTTGAAAATTTAAAGAATTGTAAGCCTTGACAATGCAATTTGAAATTTTAGTATTATTATTGTTTAAAACTTGAAATAATTTAATTTTGGGGTTTTTACATACATATCACCCAAAACTTCAAATATAACAGCATAAACATTCATTTACATTAAGTTTTCGATTTTTATCTAAGGATTTTCAAGTATAATGGGGTTTGAGACTTTTAATTCATGATTTATGTTTCTTTTTATGTTCATTTTTATATCGTTTTAAAGTCCAAATAATTCAATTTCTTAAGAACATTTACAAGTCTAAAATCAGTTGAAATTTTGGCAGCCTCTCGATGTCGTCCCTTATTAGGGGGATGCATCAGGGTGTCTGCCTGTCCATTTGTATATAAGACGCGCTGGTTAGTATCGTGAGACACTGCGGCCGGAAGAAATCTTTTAATCCATCGGTCTATAAGACGCGTGTGTGTCTTCTCTTTTCCTGCATTTTAGGCCGGAAAAGATCTAGTCACTGGTCTATAAGATGCATGTGGGTCTTCACTGCCTGCATTAAATAATGTGGGCACAATTTTCCTTTAGAAGCTAAAGTAGCAAGACTAGCTTTTGAAAGCCTGAAATTTTTCGAAAAATTGGAATCATTAAATAGTTCATCCTTGAGTGGAGGCTTCTTCATAGCAAAAACCATTCCATCAAAGCCCTTGCTTGTACAGGAAAGCCTCACATCCACACCAAACTCCTCATATTCTTCATCCTCCGGTCCAGCATCAGGAACGTATTTGAAGATTCACATAATATCCTCAACTTCAGAAATGTGCTTCTCATTAGCCTTGTAGACCTAATTGTAGTAACCGAGCAACTCCTCAAAGGAGACTGTGTCGAATGCCATGGAGTGTAGCAGATTAAGATCGCTGCTCATAGTGGTGATTCGATGCTCCAGTGACTACAAGAAGGCGACAGCCACTGAATCAAGCGGAATTTGCTTCCTCTAAATGGAATCGGGGAGAGCTTTGGAGCTGGACTCTACGTGGTTGCAGAAGGTGGCGAGCGACTTTCCTTCCCAGTTAGCCCTCATCTCGACTATGCGACTGTATCGAAGAGGAGAAGCACTGGAGAGAGGCAAAAGCTTCGAAGATTATTGTATCGAGCAATCTCGTCGTTGTTTCCCTCCAGAGTAGGGCAGGCGATGAGAGTTGAAGATCGGATTTTCGGGTCTCCGTACACCGTGATCACCTACCTCTTCAGCCTCCAGAGACAACGAGGATGAGGGCTTTTGGTAGGGGAGAGAGGTTTCAGCGAGAGTTTTTGATGTCTACAGGGAGAATCAGAGATCTTGGGTCTCTGTACGTCGCGACTCTGACACTGGGTTCTTGTCGTGAATAGTTACTAACTTTAAACTAAATAGTTACTAACTTTAAACTCATTTAGTTTAATTTTTTTTTATTTTTCTAATTTTTATTTTTAAGTATATTTTTAACTGTCAAGATACAAAAATAACAACAAGCCTTTAAGTTATTAAGTGTGGTCGGCTACATGAATCTTTTTTTTTTCCATTGCATCCTATTGAGTGTCATTTTTTCATTTAATTTTAATAAATTTATACCATTTTTTATACAATATGCCCAAGTCTTTCTAGGTCTACCCCTGCCTTTTTTTTAACATAAGTCGAATCTAAAACATCTAGTCTCCTGCCCGGATCATCAATTGGTCGATGCTTAATGTGGCCAAACCATCTAAGATGACTTTCTCTAATTTTGTTCGTCACTGGGACTACACCAACCCGATGACGTATATATTGATTTCGCATTTTGTCTCTAAGTGTAAAGTCACTCATCCACCTGAGCATTATCATCTCAGTAACATTTAACTTAGTTTTATGCTTCTCTTTTAAAGGCCAACATTCAATGACATAGAGCATTGCAGGTATCACTACCATTTTATAAAATTTTCCTTTCAGTCTAAGAGGTACTTTTCTATCACACAATAGGCCCAAATCATTCCTCCATTTCAACCGACCAACTTAAAATTATACTAATAACATCCCTATCTATATCACTATTACTTTGAACAATAGACCCAAAATATCTAAAGCGTTCACACCTTTAAATTTGAGTACATTCAAATAAATCCAAATCATATAAAATTGGGTAGTAATTGAATTCTTAAACATCACAATTGAAATCTTAGTTGTATTAAATTTGATAAGAAATGAAGAACTCTAGCAAAGCCATCATAAAAATATTTTGAACGTTGACAAATAAAGGGGGATTTGCTTGCTGTTCACTACGGTAAGTCAGGTAGTTGGCCGTTATATCTGCAGGACACTTCTGCTTCCTCTGGTTAAGAGGAATTAAGCATGAAGGAAATACTGTATTTCTCATAGTTACATCTTGCCTTTTTCTCTGTATAATTCATGACAAATTAATTTAGCAAGGGGAACTAGAACATATGTATATGCTTCTCTTCATAATTCACACATTAAAAGGCTGAAAAACTGAAGTAAAAAAACTTAAAATATATGAATAACATCAAAGCTTTGTTCCTAAACCATATCCTGAACCGAAAATTCCTGTTGATTACATCTTATTCCTTTAAAACTTTCTATCTGTTCTTATTTTGTTTTCTCCTGAGCTCTTGTTACTGATTTCGATTTTGATTGTATGTTATAGAATTGTCACTAATTTTGTCTTTCTTCTTACATAAATTAGAAAATGTATGTTCAATAAACCAATTTTTATGATTTTTATGTGCAGGTTTTCGCCTCCATTGTTTCATCGAATTTGCGCCTTTTATCTTATTTATCAATCACACGAACTTTGATGTGCGATCGACGGCGATCTCTCTTTCCC